CTTTACAGAGTAATGCCCGGGCGGTCCTAATATTGTAAATAACAAGTCCTGCAGTACTGGTTAACTTCAAATTACAATAACGTATTTTCTTCAGTTTTGTATTTTCCGTTCCTAAAGCTATAAGAATAACTTGTTTTAATCCAGTTAAGCACGCAGGTGAAAGCCCGGGCGGTGTTTTATCGCAAATAACAAACGTTGGGGCTTCTAGCTCTCCAGTGGGCTGTTGCGATGTTACTAATTTCAAATAGTCATAACTCGCTCAAATTTAATTTTCACCATTTCTTGATCATTATATTCATGTTGTTACAAACAATGCAAAATATATAGTTGTAATTGTGTAAAAATGGAGACAACCCCCGGACGGTCTACATATCACTACCGGGCTGTACCGGGCTGTAATTAGTAGCACCGCTCTATACACTTCCTGTTTTGGAGATCGGTCCAAGGTGTAAACAAGTGTCCTGTCGATAGAAGTCCAGTCTGTCCTTTCCGTATCGATATTGGATATTCAAAGGGTGAGTGTAAGGAACTAAGGTGGTTCTGTTACGTACACATCTGTAAATTACACAAACAATGTTTGGTTATATCTGTATATTACTATTTCACATGCACTACACTGTCGACAAAACTTTGCTGTACTAGATATATACACAAACCGAAAGTTGGTATAACTTCTGTAATTCATAACATGTTTAAACGCGACTATATCTTTGTGTTGATAGTGTTATTTCAGGCGATTAGTACAGATAATTGCCTCCTCTTGATCTGTGCTACTTTAAACGGACTTCATTACTAAGACTCAAATGTAAATCAATGGGTTAGCGTTATGTTGATTGAAATGTGTCACGATCATTTAAATCAATGGGTTAGCATTATATTGATTGAAATGTGTCACGGTCATTTAAATCAATTGGTTAGCATTATATTGATTGAAATGTGTCACGGTAATTTAAATCACACACATGGAAGTGTGTTCCTATACATGTAAATGTATATAAAAAATCATTGACACACTAGATTGTCAGAGACGATTGACTGGAAGTTCAAACGTTCTCGTTATAATGATAGACTATAGAATCATGGGAAGGAGAGGAGTTAGGGGGGGTATAACTATAATTGATGTTAGCCTCTTATATACAAACACTACTGGCAGTGAAACTAATCATTATCTGACTGACACCCGACCTCTTCCTCGTTATCAGAAAGTACACCCGACCCCTACTCGTAATCAGAATGATACCCACCCCCTCCTCATTATCAGAATGACACCCCAACCCTCCTCCTAATCAGAATGACACACCGTCCCTCTTTGTTATCAGAATGGCACCCGAACCCTCCTCATTATCAGAATGACACCCAACCCCTCCTCATTATCAGAATGGCACCCGAGGAACCCGCCTCCTCCTCATTATCAGAATGACACCCAACCCCTCCTCATTATCAGAATGGCACCCTACCCTTCATCATTATCAGAATGGCACCCTACCCCTCCTCATTATCAGAATGGCACCCGAGGAACCCGACTCCTCCTCATTATCAGAATGACACCCAACCCCTCCTCATTATCAGAATGGCACCTGACCACTTCCTCGTTATCAGAATGAGAACAGACCCCTTCCTTATAATGAGAGTGACCCCCTTCCCATCCTCATTATATGACTGACACCCGACCTCTTCCTTGTTATCAGAAAGTAGACCCGACCCCTCCTCGTAATCAGAATAACACCTGACCCCTCCTCGTTATCAGAATGATAACCGCCACCTCTTCGTTATCAGAATGACACCTGACCCTTCCTCATTATAAGAATAATACCCGACCCTTTCACGTTACCAGAATAACACCTGACCCCTCCTCATTATCAGAATGACACCTAACCCTTCCTCATTATCAGAAAGACACCCGACCCCTCCTCATTATCAGAATGACACCTGACCCCTCCTCGTTATCAGAATGATACCCGACCCCTCCACGTTATCAGAATGACACTTGACCCCTCCTCATTATCAGAATGATACCCGCCACCTCTTCGTTATCAGAATGACACTTGACCCCTCCTCATTATCAGAATGATACCCGACCCCTCCTCATTATCAGAATGATACCTGACCCCTCCACGTTATCAGAATGACACTTGACCCTTTCTCATTATAAGAATAATAACCGACTCCACGTTATCAGAATGACAACCGACCCCTTCCTTGTAATAAGAGTGATCCCCTCCCCATCCTCGTTATCATAATGACACCCACCCCTTCCTCGCTATCAGATTGACACCTGGCCCCTTCTCATTATCGATATGACACCCGAGCCCTCCTAGTTATCAGAATCACAACAGAACCCTTCCTCGTAACAAGAGTGACCCCCTTCCCATCCTCGTTATATGACTGACACCCAACCTCTTCCTTGTTATCAGAAAGAACACCGACCCCTCCTCGTAATCAGAATAACATCTGACCCCTCCTCGTTATCAGAATGACACCTGACCCCTCCTCGTTATCAGAATGATACCCGCCACCTCTTCGTTATCAGAATGACACCCGAACTCCTTCTCGTTATCAGAATGACACCCGAATCCTCCTCATTATCCATATGACACCCAATCCCTCCTAGTTATCAGAATCACAACAGACCACTTCCTCGTAACAAGAGTGACCCCCTTCCCATCCTCGTTATATGACTGACACCCGACCTCTTCCTTGTTACCAGAAAGTCAACTCAACCCCTCCTCGTTATCAGAATAACACCTGACCCCTCATCGTTATCAGAATGATACCCGCCACCTCGCTGTTATGAGAATGACACCTGACCCCTTCTCGTTATCAGAATCATACCCGACCCCTCCACGTTGTCAGAATGACAACAGACCCTTTTCTCGTAATGAGAGTGACCCCCATCCCATCCTTGTTATCAGAATGATACCAGACCCTTCCTCATTATCAGAATGACACCCGATTCCTCCTCATAATCTGAATGACACCTGACCCCTTGTAATCAGAATGACACACAGCCTCTTTTTGTTACCAGAATGGCACCGAAACCCCTTCTCATTATCGGAATGACAACTGATCCCCTCGTCGTAATCAGATTGACATCAGACACCTCGTTATCAGAATGACACCCGTCCCCCTCATCGTTATCAGAATGATACCCGCCACCTCGCTGTTATGAGAATGACACCTGACCCCTTCTCGTTATCAGAATCATACCCGACCCCTCCACGTTGTCAGAATGACAACAGACCCTTTTCTCGTAATGAGAGTGACCCCCATCCCATCCTTGTTATCAGAATGATACCCGTCCCCCTCCTCGTTATCAGAATGACAACCGACACCTTCTTGTTATCAACATATGACACCCACCCCCTCCTCGTTATCAGAATGTGACCTGACCCCTCCTCAATATAAGAATGACACACGACCCCTCCTCGTTATCAGAATGACACCCGACCCCTCCTCGATATTAGAATGACACCCGACCCCTCCTCGTTATCAGAATGACACCAGACGCCTTCTTGTTATCAGAATGAGACCCGACCCCTCCTCGTTATCAGAATGACACCAGACGCCTTCTTGTTATCAGAATGAGACCCGACCCCGACCCTTCCTTGCTTTCGAAATGACACCCGCCCCCTCCTCGTTATCAGAATGAGACCTGACCCCCTCCTCATTATCCATATGACACCCAATCCCTCCTAGTTATCAGAATCACAACAGACCACTTCCTCGTAACAAGAGTGACCCCCTTCCCATCCTCGTTATATGACTGACACCCGACCTCTTCCTTGTTACCAGAAAGTCAACTCGACCCCTCCTCGTTATCAGAATAACACCTGACACCTCGTCGTTATCAGAATGATACCCGCCACCTCGCTGTTATGAGAATGACACCTGACCCCTTCTCGTTATCAGAATCATACCCGACCCTTCCACGTTGTCAGAATGACAACAGACCCTTTTCTCGTAATGAGAGTGACCCCCATCCCATCCTTGTTATCAGAATGATACCAGACCCTTCCTCATTATCAGAATGACACCCGATTCCTCCTCATAATCTGAATGACACCTGACCCCTTGTAATCAGAATGACACACAGCCTCTTTTTGTTACCAGAATGGCACCGAAACCCCTTCTCATTATCGGAATGACAACTGATCCCCTCGTCGTAATCAGATTGACATCAGACACCTCGTTATCAGAATGACACCCGTCCCCCTCCTCGTTATCAGAATGACAACCGACACCTTCTTGTTATCAACATATGACACCCACCCCCTCCTCGTTATCAGAATGTGACCTGACCCCTCCTCAATATAAGAATGACACACGACCCCTCCTCGTTATCAGAATGACACCCGACCCCTCCTCGATATTAGAATGACACCCGACCCCTCCTCGTTATCAGAATGACACCAGACGCCTTCTTGTTATCAGAATGAGACCCGACCCCTCCTCGTTATCAGAATGACACCAGACTCCTTCTTGTTATCAGAATGCGACCCGACCCCGACCCTTCCTTGCTTTCGAAATGACACCCGCCCCCTCCTCGTTATCAGAATGAGACCTGACCCCCTCCTCATTATCCATATGACACCCAATCCCTCCTAGTTATCAGAATCACAACAGACCACTTCCTCGTAACAAGAGTGACCCCCTTCCCATCCTCGTTATATGACTGACACCCGACCTCTTCCTTGTTACCAGAAAGTCAACTCGACCCCTCCGAAGGTCATTCTCATAACAGCGAGGTGGCGGGTATCATTCTGATAACGACGAGGTGTCAGGTGTTATTCTGATAACGAGGAGGGGTCGAGTTGACTTTCTGGTAACAAGGAAGAGGTCGGGTGTCAGTCATATAACGAGGATGGGAAGGGGGTCACTCTTGTTAGGAAGGGGGTCACTCTTGTTACGAGGAAGTGGTCTGTTGTGATTCTGACAACGTGGAAGGGTCGGGTATGATTCTGATAACGAGAAGGGGTCAGGTGACATTGTCGAAGGACAAATGGGCAGAACAGTTCCCGACTAATGCTGTGATCCAGGATCTTATCAAGCTCAGGGAACGTTCGTCTGAACCACTGTACTGCAAGCCATGCCAGACAAAAGGTGACCTGACAAATCTAGCGAAATTCTGGTGCAAGTCGATGGGCGTGAAATTCTGTGAGACTTGTAAGGTACAACATCATGATATCATGCACAATGATTGTGATATCTTAGATATCACTGGGTACGATAGCAGGAAGACAAAACAGGAAAAGTCAGTCCCTAAATGTGACCAACACGACAAGAAACTGATTTGGTACTGTGAAGACCACAAACGCCTCGGATGCAATATATGTATGATCAAAGACCACAGACGTTGTGATGAAGTGACAACGGCGATTGAATATTTACAGAAGTTAAAAGCTGTGTCACAACTAGAAGAGATGGAGATGGCACTGAAGAAAGGAGTACAGGCCATGACGTCATTAGTGAAGGATTTTAACCATGGTTAAATATCAGGAAATCGCACTGCAAAGCATCAAAGATCTACGCCAAAGTGTCGAAGAACAGCTGAACAAACTTCAGAAGGACGTCACTGATAAGTTAATTACATTGTTTAAAGAGGAGAAGAGGAATATGGAGGCCTCGTCACGACAGTGTGAACGTCTGATGAACAGTATGGTTAATACCATGAAGTCGTCCGTTACCGCCGCAGAGGAAAACGACACTATTGAGGCGATAGTGTTGTATCAGAGAGGACAGGCAGAAGTGGAGTCGTGTAAGGCCCTGGTCACGGAGATGAGCACATCCTTCATGTCCGTCAGCATTAAGCATCAGATTGTTCCCAGACTAGTAACCCTTGGTGATGAGGCGATGGGGAAGGTTGTAATCGAGAGACAACGCCGATGTCTTCCTGGTGATCTTGATTTCCTGTCCGTACCTTTGTCAGATCGTCGTGTGAAAGAAATCGGGAAGTTTAACGTAAAGACTCCGTCAGATAAAGAGAGATGTTGGATAAGTGGAGTGGTGTACCTTCCTAATGAACAGATAGTACTTAGTGATCACAACAACAAGAAGCTGAGGTTGTTTACAGACAAAGGACAGTACCTAGACGAGTTGGTCATTCGTGGATATCCCTTGGACCTGTGTCTGGTAAACAACAACACTGTGGCGGTCGCTGTCTACGGTCGTGGTGGTGTCTGTGTCGTGCAAGTCGAGGACTCAAAACTCTCCCTGTCGTCCGAGATCAACATGCCTAATGGTAAACACTGTTATGGTATAACACATACAGATGGGAGGTTTCTCGTGGGTACAATTGGAGGAGAGGTATACAGTGTGACACAGGACGGAACAGCTGTGTTGTTACATAAGTATAACAACAGCTGTTATACCCTCACACAAGATCCAGTAAAGGGAGACACAATCGTCAGTGTCAGTAACACCATTACAGGGGACGTCGCGGTGTCTAGACTGTCAGCTGACAAACGTCACATGGATGTGATGAAGGTCGGTGTCGTGAGTGATGCTAGGGGAATAGACCTGGACAGGGAGGGTAACATCTACGTGTGCGGTAATAGTTCACACAACGTCGTACAGATGTCTGGGGCCGGGACACACGTCAGGGAGCTGCTGACGTCATCAGAAGGAATGGACTCTCCACAGGCAATAGCTGTTGGTGGTGACAGGTTTTTTGTCTCTTCTACTGGTGGTACGGATGACAATAATTATATCCGTGTTTTTCAACTTTACTAGAAAGAAATTTAAAATCAATACAACAATGGGCTGATCATTTGGACTAATTGTTTACCATAACAATGTCGGATGGACAATGTTTGAAGATACAAACTTGAATTTAAATAATGATATTGTTTCACCACAAAACATCTGTAAATAATACAAAGCGAATGAGATCCGTGACCGTGTTTGGTTCTGATGACGTCACACCCACAGGGTGTGGAAACATTTAACACCACAATAAACCTTTCCGGTCACCTTCCCGTGGATGTTGTCCAGTCATCTTTACTTTGAATTTTGAACATCTGGAAACAATTTCTGAAAACTAACCGTA